TCAGCTGATAATTAAGGTGACATCAAAAAAATGAAACCCTAAAATCTTCTATTTGATATTCATAAATTTATCCCATCACTTTTATCCCTTCACTACAGATGGAAATCAAGCACATCGAGAGCATTTTGTTTTCACAATTGGAAATGCATCTCAATTGATTGCTTCAATTCCATTGTACATGATATTGCCGGAGTATCAAAAGAGACTTAAATAACATTGAACATGACAATCAAGAAAGAGAAAATCTTTACCATAGTTCTTATGTTCACGAAGGTTTTATTTCTGCTGTTAGTTTATTAAATTATTTGATGAAAATATTTGTTGTTCTTGGTATATTCAATCGTGTTATTTTTAGGTCTGATTGTTATTGCAAAAATAGCATTTCTCAATAAACAGACATTATTTGCTGGTTTAAATACGAATTGAAAGTTTCCTACGAGTTTATTTTGAGAAATATTGCCATAGGTCAGTATCATATACACAGAAAACAAATGAAAAAAAATGCACTTCTGTACAGCAAAAACAGTAACTAACCAAGGAAAAGTAAGATCATCTTCAGATTCAGCGCCCCTCAAATTAGCTAAAAAAATATTTGGTGTCTCGACACCATTTCATTTTTTTTTTGTTAACCAATTTAGGAGCCTTTCTTACTCTTCCCAATGGATAAGTAAATTGTGAAATAGGATTAAACCCATAATTGTCACGTCAATTTTCACAGTTGTAAAGAAACTCCAACTAAAGACACCCTAAATGAATGCACCTATTCCATTGTACATGATACTGCTGGAATATAAAAAAGGACTTAAATAACATTGAACAAGATAGACAATCAAGAAAGAGAAAATATTTACCATAGTTCTTTTGATCACAAAGGTTTTATTTCTGCTGTTAGTTTATTAAATGATTTGATGAAAATACTCTGTTGGTCTTGGTATATTCAATAATGTTATTTTTAAAGACTTAGGGTTTGATTGTTATTACAAAAATAGTATTTCTCAATAAACAGACGAATATTTGTTGGTTTAAATACGAATTGAGAGGTTTCCACAATTTTATTTTGAGATATATTGCCATCGGTCAATATCATATATACAGAAAACAAATGACAAAATGCTTTTATCCAAAAAATGAGGCATTTCTGTGCAGCAAAAATTGTAGTTAAACAAGAAAAAGTAAGGTCATTTTCAGATTCAGCGGCGTCAAATTAGCTAAAAAGATGTTTTTTGTCTCGACACCATTTTAATTTTTTTTGTTGACCAATCAAAAAGACCTTTGCATTTGTCATGAAATAAAATTAAAATTTAACGAAATTGAAAAAAAAAAATGAAATTCTCTCTTTTTTTTTCTTTTACAGGGACCAAGTTCTGTTCATTGCTCCATGAACTATACAAGTCTGCTTACAAATCTCCTCGGAACGTACACTGATTGCAACATGACAGCAAGCGATCACAAAAACACAGAAATGGTGAAAAGCGCACAAAAATTCTATATCTATTTCACTCCGTTCATTTTATCTGTTGGCATCATTGGTAATTCCCTTTCTTTAACCGTGTTCATGTCTCGCAGTATGCGCCGTCTGTCAGCAAGTCATTACCTTGCTGCGCTCTCTTTGGCAGATATTACCGCGCTTATCTTCTATGTGTGTGTTGATTGGTTGAAACGAGGTCTGTCACTGTGGCCTCGTGGTGAATATCTTCACCTATTGCACATGGAAGGCTTCTGCCAGATCTTCATGTACCTCGGTTACGTGTCGCGTTTTCTATCCGCTTGGATAGTCGTGGCGTTCACAGTCGAGCGTTACATTGCCGTCTGTCATCCGTTCCGTCGTCACCAGAACTGCACAATCGGATCTGCAAAACGCATTTTGCTTTTCGTTATTTTATCCTCTTTGGTTTTCAATATTTACAAGCCAGTATTAAGTGGGATACATGAGACGTCAAAGGGAGGGCCGCGTATTTGCACAGCTAATCCCGACCATAATATCATCTCCTTTGTCCTTGACAATGTGTTTGCGTTCTTTATTACCCTCGTCCCGTTCGTGATCATCACGATTCTAAATTGCCTCATCATTCGGTGTTTGTACCGACGTAATAAAAAACGTAAACGTGATGCCCTGATCACCGAGGAAAATGTTATTCGTCTCGAGTTCACTCTCATTCTGCTGGTGATCTCCTTCTTCTTTATTGCTCTCAACCTGCCCTTCTTTGTCGTGTGGTGTGTCCAGTTTTCACATGCAACGCTTATCTCCAACATTGATGCAGCCGAACGAGCCAGTGTCGATTTTGACTTCCTTAAGGGTCTCCTGTACATCACCCGGACGATTTTCTACATCAACTACTGTGTCAATTTTTTTCTTTACAGTTTTACAGGTGCTTATTTTCGGCGGGAAGTCAAGATGCTGTTTTCACGTAAGCGTTCTTTGCTCAAGCGTAACTCGTCTTACTTCATGCGAAACCGGTTTAAATCGCCGACCCGATCGTTACAATCATCTTGGGTTTAA